TTCACTCCTGAGGCACACGTGTGCCTGCATCCTGTTTTCAAGAATCATGAATCATGACAAGGGCTTGTCGAAGATTATATGAGTGTGTAGCACACATCTAATTATTGGTCCTGCGCATCCACATTTACGCACGGACGAGCATACAATTCAACGGGATGTTGACAAGGTAAAAGCGTGTGCTCGGAAGATTATTATCTATCTTATGCTGGACATTGCTGAAGCCAAAGGTGATAATCAACCTAGAGAAAATGGCAGCTCTTCGTCCCGCAACAAGTCGCTGCTAGTGGTTCCGTCGCCACCTCCTATCGCCTATTCCGAAGAGCTGACGGATTTACTTGGTGATCCCCGGGGAAAATTGTTAGCCAAGCGGTCAAGAAGGACGTGTGGAGGAAGTGCCTGGTCGTTGGCTTTCGGATACAATTACGTTCGAGGGCAAGTCAAACAGGCAGCCGGAATCTGTCTTTGACTTCTGAAAGCGCCAAGAAGAAACCAGCAGATACCACTTCCTACCGCACGCTACCAGGATTCTTTTTGCTGCTATATTGACGCCATATCGACTAGCATGCTGGTGGATCTAGAACCAAGCATTGATGATGTGCCCACGTTGACGGAGTAGAAAGTGTCCATGGCTTCGATATGGGATGTTATTGGATACGAAGAGGGTAGGGATGATCAGGAGTAAGTGGCCTGTAGCTAAGAAGTTGTATTCCCAATACATAAACATTTTATCTAACAGCTTCTTTGTCATATCAGCGCTTGCCAACTTGTTAGCGACTTACTCCCAGTTTTTTTTCTACTTAACAGCTTGATAGTAGTTAATTCGTGTCTCAATCACAATGTATCAGTGCGTGACCTAAAAAACGGCAGAAGACAGGGTCACCTTTGCACGAAAGAAAAATGGCGCATTGTCATATATTTAGATGAATTACAGCGGATTACCGAATGAAAGAACCAGCACTAGGCCACCCCCGTCTTCTTACGTGTGGAGTATACGCTAGTTTGGTTCTGTACGGCGTACATGAGCAGTGCGCTTCAACTTTTTTGCACTTTGAACTAGTTCAAAGTGATATGCCCTTGGCTCGCAGAGGGGCTTTTAGAACAGGGTTAATTCAAGACTGGTATTTCTGTTAGTTCGTGTCGTGTCTTGTCTCCGACTGGGACAAGAGCCTAGAAAGAAAGAATAGAAAATAAAGTGCAACTTCAACTCAAGCTGCAATGGCGGTCAGCATCCTCAGGCCGACGCCCTTCTCACTCGCCCCCATGCTGACTGCTCATTAGCACGGAAACACTCGACGAATGTTCACTCGCTGCTGCGTTGGTCCTTGGTCCAGGGTAATAGTGCCATTTTCGTGCACCGCAACGATAGTATCTTCGTTCTATCCCATGTTGCTTCGATAGCCTCCTCTCGCG